ATTACCCCTGTCAGCCAACTTATCAAGCTCTTCGTACTCACACATTTCGTAAGGAGTTTGAAATRCCGTCACACAGTTCCCATAAACCGAGCTGTTAACGAGTGCTCTCAGAGAGCAGAAGTGCAAGCCGAGTAGAAAATCGTTGGGCTGTCTGTTGTGATTGCAGCTTCTCGATGTCGAAATTTCCTTGTGTTTGGTGGTGTATGTTTTTTGCTGCACAGAGGCGGTTGCGAATCTTGGCTGCAACAAGACGTGTCTTCCGTCTATCACAACATGATCGATCTGGTTGGTGGTTTTTCGATCCGGAGACATCCAGGTAACTAGATGTTTTTTCTTGTGCTGGAATCTAGTACTAACCAACCCATCTGGGCATGTTCCGTGTTTCATGGAGGCTGAATTTACCGACTGTAGTGCAAAGATACCTTCTTTGCCCACCCTGACGTTAAAGTCGCCAAGCACGATTTTGACAACGTGGCGGAGGCAGCTCTTTTAGGCGTGCTCCAAGCGCTCATAGAAGGTATCTTTGGTCACATCGTCCTTCTCTTCCGTCGGGGGGTGGGCGCAAATCAGCGATATGTTGAATAACCTCGCTTTGACGCGGATTGTGGCTAGACGTTCATCCACGTGAATGATAGTACTCGGCGACGGATTCTCTCTCCCACACGGAACTTGCGCTCCTTTATATGTCCACTGTAGTAAATGTCACAAAGACCTACTCGTCTCAGTCCTTGGCCCTTCCATCGCGAGGACATCAAGCCGCTGGGCAGCGGCAGCTTCCCAATTAAGAGGCCAGACATTCCAGATGCATGTCCTAGTTTTCATTGGGGGTGGTTTTTATACGTGGCAGGTCCCAAACCCACCACACAAATCTATGCATCGGATGTTTCGCCTTCTCGCGTTAGCTCGCCTTCAAACGGATGTTCTTAGGCTTCCCACAGGAAACGTGGTCAAAGACCGGAAGACATGAGCTACTTGAGCCATATGTAAAAGAATCGTTTCTGGCCACTCTCAAGTGAATGGCGATCAGTGAACTTTCCTCACTTGCGTGAACTTCTACATATGACWCCATCTTCTCCAAACGAAGATGTCTACTTCTTATTAATTAAACATTAGTTTAGGGTGAATTTTTATTTAAAATCATCCCTCTTAACTGCCCATATCTTTCTGCATCTCACGGTTTGTTTTATGAAATACTAATTATTGTTTTAAGTACCWCTCGCTTAAGTATTCGCACTCGTTTATGTGTCATATTATATTTTTATTTTTATAAACCACAAACATCTGTATCTTTGATTGTGGCACATAACTGGGATTGACTCTATTTGTCAAGGAATGTGCAAAATATTTTTCGCGGTTTGCAAAAATCTGTGCCGATATGTATGCAAGCTCATACATGAACATATTTACGCTGGTTCGTTGGAGAAGCTGTTACAGCGGCAAGGGAAGCAGTGGAAATTGGCGATCGTTCGTTTGTGTTTTCGGTACAGTTCGGATTTTGTAACAACAACACAATGTTGTGACTCCTTGTCGCCGCGTCGGCTTTTTGACACATTCACTCTTTGACAAAATGTGAGTTTCGGCCATTGGTTGTCCATGACAACGCAGTTTTTGTATGAAACAATGGGTGTATATATTTGCATACAAAGTTGTGAGTAGATAAATTTACAAGCATTATGCGTATGGTTGATGCAAATTTGTTTACATGCTTACGTGTATATGTGCGACGGCTTGGCATTTTAACATGTTATCAATTCTTTTTTAAAGGTCTGCAAATAAATATGTATGTATGTGTCGGAGCGCTATGCTTGTATTTTTTATGTCACTGTAATTGCGTATGTTGTAGTGCTAATATTTTATAGGTTTGAAGTAGTCGACGCATTGGCGGCATATATTACGGTACTATAGAATGTAAATGCGCAAATAAGTATAGTAACAGGACTAGAGAAACTTTTACTGAGTGAGGTCTGATCGCATTCTGCGAACAGAGTAAAGAAACTCAGAAACCTTTAGCTGCTTTTAGAGCAATGAAAGGGTGCGTATATAATGGGGCGTAATGTCCTCCCAGAATCTGTTCAAGAACTTTCTCTATAAATATACGTTCTCTGCTATTACTTTTATAAAATAGTTTTGATGTTTCACATCTGCCATCTGTCAACTGACAGCTCACTTTTTTTTTGTTTTAGTTTCCAAATTTTGCCGCCCTACAAAATTTGCCGCCCTGGGCACTTCCCCGACTGCCACTAGTGTAAATCACACTTCACTAACACCACTTGTCTTTGTTGCACAATTATTTTCCAAACTTAGTTAGTCATTCACTTGTTTAACGCTTTCAGAAGGATGCTGTCCGATCAATTTTTCATATTTTCTCTAGGAATTTCAAACTTTTTTCTACTGAACATAAAGCCATTTTTGCCTTTTCGACATTTGAAGGCCCAGTTCCGTAAAGCCAATAACTGGCTCGCGTCAACGGGTACAGGACTACAAGATGAAGCTGACGGCAGAACCATCGAAGGTTAGTATCACACAGCTATTTTAAATTTATTGTAAATAAAACATTTTTTACTAATTTCAGCAAAAAAATTTAAAATGTGTCCATATTACGACAAGCTGAATTAAATATTTGGGAAGCGGTTGCCGGCCATGCAGCCGTTACTGGTTGAAAGTAACCTTCCTTCACCTCAGTTATGTCCAGTTAGTCCTTCACTAGAATTTGAAGTAGAATTCTCGGAAGAAGAATGTGTACCTGCTGCGACATCAAATGCCGCACCTTCGATCGCACCAATCTCCACACCGGTATCAACATAACAATGGTCCAATCGGCCTCCGGAATTATCCAGTGGACAATTGGCGGCCATCCAAGCAGAAAAAATTGCAATGGAAGAAGGGGGAATTTGACAAGTATAAATCCGAAGCGGAAAAGAAAATTCAGGAAAGAAAGTTAGATATTGAATCAAAAAAATTAGACATAGAATTGAAAATAAAAATAGAAACTGAGGAAAAATGCAAGATGTTAGAATTAGAAATGAAACAAATAGTGGCTATGTACGAAACTTAAAAAAATATGAAAATAAAAACAATTAAATACACTAAATTACATTTGTACTTATTTATGGCAGTTAGATTATTTCTTTAGGTTTTGTAAGTATGAGCTTATATAAAGCCATATCAAAAATTGTTTCATTAAAGTGGGAAGCACTAAATATTGCCATCGTAATTAATCCGAACCGCAAACAAAGGTCTTGTACAAAAAAGTCTTGCGGTATTTTCGCTAGTTGGCCCTGAGAGCGCGTAGTTCTAGATTTATTCGTCACATCGGATCATGCTAAACCTTTTTGGAAAGCTCATTTCACGCGCTAAAACGTGTTTGATTGATTGTCGTTCCTTTTAAGTCGTTCGTGAGTTATAGCGTCGCAAACGTGTAGCAAAATAAAGAGAATATACGGCATATTTTACAGTACTACTACGATAAAGGCAAAAATGTATCTCAAGCCGCCAATAAAATTTGTGCAGTTTATGGACCCGATACAGTTTCCATNACAGTACTACTACGATAAAGGCAAAAATGTATCTCAAGCCGCCAATAAAATTTGTGCAGTTTATGGACCCGATACAGTTTCCATTTCCACCGCACATCGATGGTTTCAACGTTTTCGTTCTGGTGTAGAGGTGGTCGAAGATGCGCCACACTCCGGAAGGCCTGTCATCGAAAATTGCGATAAAATCGCTGAATTGGTCGAAACAGACCGTAGCAGCCGTACCATCATAAAAAAATTTTTATGAACAATTGAAAATTCAATAAAAAAATACCGCAAGACTTTTTTGACAACCTAATATGAGCAAAGTTAGCTATGATTTCGATGTCAATTTTCAGAGCCAGATGATACGGGTCCTCTGGCCGAACCAAAGGATCATATCGGACAACGGAGAACATTGAAACGTTATCAACATAAACTAAATCTAAGAACTTACCAAACTCGTTTGAAATTAAATTAATTTGGATAAGACCCACCCCCACCATTTCMTCTAAAAACTCGTTAAAACATAAGCGAGTACTAATAGGAATGGCGTGATCATCAATAGATTTCCATGATACGCACGGTAAATTGAAATCCCCAAACCAATCATGGAATCAGTATTATTAGCCATTGATTATTTATTAATGAAGCATGCTGCATATAAACAGATATATCCGAGTGAGGCGGTATATAAGATAAAGTTAAGTAGATATGGCCACATATAGATATGGTTAAAAAGTGAAATAAACAATTATCATCCAGATATAGTAATATATTAGAGCAGCTTCTTCAATTATAAAATTAACAAGTTTTTGTTTCTCAGAAGTTTGTGGCATTTAAAAAAAAATAGATTTGTTAATCTTTCGCAGTTTGTTTTGTTTTGTTATTTATTCAATCACAATATTCGATAAAAGAGTCATTCACAAAAGTTTTGCATAATAGTCATTCACAATAAATTTACCGAATCAGCCGGTCACATATTACTAGATTCTGCAATGGGTGCTCTCCTGCCTTTGTATATTTCGGTATAGTGTTTTTGCAATCTGCAATCTTGTAAGAGCAAGAGAATGCCCCTATTATCTTCCCAATTTTCATAAAACAACGAACACTGGCATTACAACTTTCCTGGCAATATGTATTTTCTGTTGTTACACGAACAATACATTGTTTTTAATTTGCAACGCATTCACGTATTTCTACTGGCATACTCTCACTTCCTATCAATTTTTTTATTAGAATCGTGATGAAAATTGACAATTAACATAAGAATAACATAAGCTGTTCACATAAGTTTGCAAAAAATTGCCATAGAATATGAATATATTGTCATGTTTTCCATGTGATATCAATCCATTATATTATAAATTCCATGCAATATATTTAAAACTTTTAAGCGGTTTCTATTACAAAGGAATCTTTAACAGTGATTGATTGCAAGAGTCTTGCAATTTAAATCAGTTTAGGTAAGCAGCTTAAAGCTTATGTTCTTGATCGTATAACCACAGCGTTATGTTATTTTCTGGAGAAAGGAAAAAAATAGCTACAACCCACTCTGCAAGATAGTGCTAACCTATTCCAGTGTGAGAGTGCCCCAAAATAARGGTTTTTTATAACATTTTATTATGGCCAGATCGAACAAAATAAGAATCTTCGGGCATTTTAAATTAAAACATCCAACATTTAGTACAAATAACAATTACTATATAGTGGTTATATATTATATGGAGCATCTATTTAAGTCTTTTTAAAGTAAATTAGAACAACTGACTTTTGACCTTTGAATATCCAATAAAGGATTTAAGCTTGTTAGCTCTCAATCATTAAATATTTTTAATCATTTTCCATTGGAAATAATACTATTATGCTTCAAATTACAAAACGTTTCATCAAATACCTTTAAATTTCACAAGTTTATTTAATTTTCATTGCTTTGTCACGGAAAAGTAAAATGGACAATAAAAAATTTCTGAGTGAATTTTTTGAAATGTATAAATCTTTGCCATCATTGTGGAAAGTAAAAAGCAAAGATTATTGTAATAGAATTAAAAAGAATAATGATTATCCTGATGCCATAAAATAAGTGAATCGTGAAAAGCGTGAATAAAAAAAAAAGAGAGATAGTTTGAAGTCTGGTGCTGGTGCTGACGATGAATATGTTCCTACTCTTTGGTGCTATTATTTGCTATGATTTTTGAAAGATCAAGAAGAACCTTTGGCAAGCGTTACCACAATGCAGGATGAAAATACAAACACATTTGAGATAAGAAAGAAAGTCAAAATTTTATTGTTTCTTTTTTGTTTTTTTTTTTTTTGTGAACACAAACACTCATTGTGTTTTTATTCCGTAAATGATTCACTTTCTTATATTTAATATATTGTTCTGCCACAGAACTGCTCCCACTGTATTAAAATAATTACAATATTTTTCTCGAGTAGTTTTTGCTAAATTTTATGCATTCTTTGCACTTGAAGCTTCAAAATGTTTTTAACCCAAGTCAAATATTAACACCAAATGTCATTCCGCAATACCCAATGCGYACGTCTACGCAACTTAAGTACGCGGTGCCCCAACACATGCAGAATTATACAATAAGAGTTCCGACTCCTTTAAGTAGCGGCTCGTCCATAAACAGTAGTAAAATGTCACCTCAACTCAGACAAAACGTACGAATCGTTGAAGATACATCATCCATTAATTTGAGCTCGGTAGAAAACTTACAAAAATGCATCGTTTGAAACGGATGAATAATTTATTTTTATTTTTCCTTCAAAAAACCAATAATTTTCAGACATACATGTGTACACATGAACCTTTTCTTGTTTAGTTGAAAACAAATAATTTAATCAATAAATAATTACCTTAATGAAATCTTTCAATTGACTTATTATGGCATCAAAAGTCTCTGTAACTATTTTCCCAGTCGTTTGGGGCGACATTGCTGTCAAAAATTTTAAGTCTTCAAAGCTATTACCACTAGCTAGAAAGCGCAAAGTTAGAGCAAGGCGGTGATGAGTTGGAATCGCTTCTCTCATTATTGTATCCGTTTCTTTATGAGTGGCAAAAATTTTTTAAAAGGTGGTCAAATGTTGCCTTGCTCATACGAACGTAATTTGTAAAATCATTTTGTGACGTGAATCCCAGTTCTTTAATAAGCTCACTTTGTCCAAGAACTGCTCGTTTTTTAAACCATTCTTTGCACCAAAATCTTTTTTTGCGATCTTCTCTCTTTTTTCTACGCTTAATTTCCACAGCGAGCAATATTGCTGCAGCACAATTGTTGTCCGTATTCATCGCTGTCTGAAAGAGAACTAATGTTCGGCCAAAAGTTCGTATGGTTTATGGCCGAAGCTGCGAACAAGATTGCGGAATGTTCGCGGAAATGTTCGTGTCGCGTATTTGGCACTTCAGTTTATCACATGGAAGAAAGAGTTTTTTTTTTTCGAAAGAGTAATTACTACATTTCCCCAATTATTCATGAATCTTCAACATTTGAGATGAGTGCAAATACATCTATTCCGTCCCACTCTCCCTTAGTATTGAAACTAATAATGATAAAATTAATATGTGACCCTGTCTTTTATGTCGCACCAAATGTCTATTGAATAATGATTTCCTTTAAGTGATATATGTGAATAAATGAGAAAAGTGGGACCTGACTAGAAGTTGTTGCAATCAAATAGCCAAGCCATCACTATAAACCCCAAGATGCAGGTCTTCAAACAGTTCACTGCATTCATCATAATATTGATTTTCTTTGCAGCGGATGAATCAGTATTTTTTCATTTTTTACCCCTTAATCATCTCAGATTTTTATGAATTTCTACATTTACCTTTCTAGAACAGAAGATATTGCAAATAATAGCTCCAAGGTAAGAGAATATTTAACAGGTGCTAGAATTAGAGAAGACCGGTTGCTATCATCGCTCTATATATGTATGAGTAATCTGATCGTTTTTATTTTTATTTTTTTTTTTTACAGGTATCAAAATCACTGCAGCCATGACTTCTGAAGGTGTCAAATTAGAAGTTATCAATATTTTGAATGAGGTATGTAGAAGAAGAGTTTTTAGTAGGCTGATCTTCACTATTTAACTCTCATTATACCCAAAAATAATTAGTGAAGGATCCCAGCGCGTTTACAAACAAATTCAATTTAATAACTCGTAATAATTATTCCAGTTTTGATTGCAATTGGTGGGAAATTCCATAACATTCTKTTGATGATTTTTCATTATTTCTATCGCGAATTTTCGTTGAAAATCATCCAGTTCGTTCATATTTTTCTAGAAAATTTTCTGGGTTCTGGAGTATTCATTGATCTTAATTTTCTTCTATTAATTAGTTATAATAGAGGAAAATTTTGGTCAAGTTCTGTAAGTGGAAAATTTGAACGATTTTACAATGGTGGCAATTTGATAAAGCTATCCATATTTAATTATTATTTTATTATTGATAGAATGGCAACGTTTGACCTTATATAGGGCACCTTGGGTTGATTCAGAGAGATGAAACAGGCTTCAAATATCTTTACAAAAATTAATGAGGTGTTTCCATCACATTTTTCAACAAAGGAACCATTGCCTAGAATTCATTGGAAAAATTTCTCTTGTGCCGATGCTCCAGTTTGACGAAAAAAAGATTCAGAAAATTTATGTCCAAAAATTTTTATAGAGAGAGAGAGAGAGAATCTACAGTCGTATATCGAAGGTAAAAGCGTCAATGGGTTTTATAATGAGGACTTTTCGAAGGCGTTGGAACGACTGGGCAAAGAATTCCTGGCGTACACAGGGATCACTGAACCGCATTCAAATGTATATGCATCAAGTGCTTCTCAGGAAGGCTATTTCGCTCGTTTACAACAGAGTATGAGAGAGACCGTACAGTTGCCCTGTTCAGCAGATCGATTCGTTTGTGAACACCTAAAGCGGCTACAGAGCGGGACCAATGAATTAGGTGCACAACTGAAGCACGCCAACCACGCAAAGAARCCGTCGTCACCTTCCCTAACCACCAAAGAACMTAGAAAAAAACATTGCTGATTCTGATCTAAAGTCTTATGAGCCATGGGGTGGGCTCAAAAACAAAGGCCTTTTCTCAGTTGATAGTGCTACCTCCGAAGATGATGAGTCAAAAGAAGAAGAGAACATCAGAGCAAAACCATTACTTAAGAGAAACACCAATATGACTGACACGGAAAATGAGTATTACTTTTTTGATAATAAAAAAGATGTTTATACCAATCACAACAAAGACGGAACAATTATTGAGGATRTAGAAAGAACTCCAATCATCTCCAACGATGACGCGGAAAAAAATTAAGATGATGCAAGATCATTCATCATCAATCCTGAGCATCAAAAAAAAAAAAAAAATCATATAAGTGATGATTCTGAAAATCTTTCCCTTGATAACAGAAAAGGATTTGTCTACGAGAGCTATAAAAATATCCCCCTGATTATGGAGAATGCAGAAATACCACCGAGCACTCCAAAATGCCACTTCTTGCAGAAAGAGATCTTAGAGTGCGAAAAAAAAGCGTCTCAATTCGTCCTAAATGAGGAAATAAAAAAAAAAACACCACGATTCAGCCTGAATCTGTAGTGGACGGTCTGAATAATCCCTTCAATGATGAAGTATCGACTTCATATACGGTTAAATGCAATTCAATGGCTGGTGATGTTTCTGCGCRTCCCTTGTTATCAACTTCCCAAACACCCACTCTGTTGAATTCACCTCTCATACATTCGTATTTCAGAAGTACTCCCTTGACTGATCATTCATATGCATTAACAGATGCATCTCACGCCCGTAACATTTTGAAAGAGATTACTAATTGGCATAATAATGACAAATCAAAGAATTTGTGAGACCTAAGCGAATCAAGTGAGACCTCTTCATCGAATCTCTTACTCATGAAGAAAGACGATCAGGGTAAAGAATTACTTGCTCAGATTCAAACGCATAAAAGAAAATTGGAACATGTGGAATAAAAAAATTATGGCCCGACGAAGAGGATGAAACTGGAAAGAATGAAGAGCAAGCAATTTTGTTACTATTTCCGAAATCATAGAGAACTTAGAATTAAAAATCAGGGAATTAATTCTAAAAAAAAGTATTAATGTTCCCCAATGGTAACAGGTGTATCAAACCGTTGATAATAAAACTTAGTGATAAACCCTTTTGGAAGTTTGAATCGAAGGTGAATAGAAAGCTGCTGCCTAAGGAAGTGAAARTCCGTCCGCTCAATACCTGCGGTTTAGATTCAATTTTCCATATTTTAGAATTTTGTGTGATCGATCACCCCTTTTATGAGTCATTTGCAAAAGATTCTGATAGTAAAGCCATTAAACTCCTTCTATCTTTCATGAAAAAAGGGCTACTGCAAAAGTACAGTAGGAACGGTTGAGGCTCCTGAATACAGTATACGMCATTGAGGACCCACAGCCATACCAGCTTAATGCTGTCGATTCACTTGATATCATTTGGGAACGATTCTTGACCGGCGAACCAAGTGGTTGCAGAAGTTTCACATGTAAAAATCCAGATTGTAACTTTGAACCCACACCAATGTATTTGATTCATGTGAACGAGAGAATTCTGCTCGAAGGTTGTTGTAAAGACTTGCAAAAAGCTCTTCAATATCGTCCAGTTTATTATAACAAGAAATGCCGATCGAAATGTGGCTAAGAAGGTGAGGAGTATACCACATTAAATCTTCACATTTGCATAAGTTTAGATGTGCGTGAGCCTACGAACAAATTAAGAACCATTGAATTCCATTTAAATGATTTTTCTCCATATCTTTATCTTGAGAGACCTTATAGGTATGATTTTTTACATTCTGGAATTTAACTAATGCTTACAGGCAAGTTACTGTTAAAGCGATTTTTCAATGTAAATTTTTTATTTTGAGACTGGTGGGAATCATCCATCATCAGTTGAAGAAGGACATTTACAATTCCTATTCTATTATATTCTTCGTACTATAGGATCGTGGCTCCATTGTGATGATTTAGAGGAAATAGGAATAAGAGCACCAAGTCAAACTGTAAAACCTCATGCTGCAATTTACGTGATCTGTGAGACCGAATGCGACATTTAAAAACGATTCTTCGATAAAACTACCTAAATTACTTTAAGTTACCTTTCAATGAGAAATGTTATATAGTTCTGTAGTTAATAGAATTTTTTTTTCTTCTCTCCAAGGAAATTTTCGAAAAGATTTCAGAGAAAAATGAGATTCAATTGACTTTTATAAATGTGCGATATAGTTATAAAAAATGTGATACATAGTTATATATATATTTTTTGATGTGAAACATCTATAGGCGCGGGTAAACATGATTGTCGCCGTGGCGATACTGGCCGTGGTTACGATCAACACGCTATATTATTATTATGGAATATATCGGCGATACATAGTCTATACGTAGTAGTCTATATGTAGCATATATATATGTATGTCTATTTTTACGCGGCTTGCAAAAATCTATTTCGATATGTATGCGAGCTCATACATAGACATTCATATTTGTTGTTACAGCAGCAGTGGCAATTGGCGATCGTTCGTTTGTGTTTTTTGGCACATTTTGGGTTTTCTACCAACAACACAATGTTTGTGAGCTTCAGCAATAACGGTACACATTTACATACAAAATTGTGTGTAGACAAATTTGCAAATATTATACGTATGGTCTGCCATATTTGCTTACACGCACACAGAGTTAGATACATATGCACGTGCATATGCTTGGTTTTTTAATATGCCATCAAACATATAATGCTCAGCAAATAAATAAGTAAATATATAACTTAGTAAACCTACATTAATTAAATATTGTAATAATGTATGCATGTCTTTATTGTATATTTCCAAAGATGTTAAATAATTCGTCATGAAATAGTTCAATTTGTACATGCATGCTTGTGTGCTTCGATATAAAATACATATATAGAAAATATACATACATATACATATATGTACTTATATAAATTATATGCAGAGTCGTTTGCGCATTGTAAATATGCGAATCTGTAAGCGTACATTCCTTACCATCGGAAATAGTAGAACTTTTCTCATTCAATACTGAAAATGCTCAATTCTGCTATTTTTGTGTCCCCTGACGTTAAATGTGGTGAAACACTGCGTATCGCCACGGCGACAATCATATCTACATATGTGGGTATATGCCATTAATATCGTTCCTCCAAGAAGAATTTCAGTTGGAAATAAACAACAACCCGAGAGAATGTACTACAAGATATAGAGCAACAATAGATGCGGTATTTATTAGATATCTTGATTATGTGATATCTAATACTTTTGTAGCATACTTCAGTTAACATCGACCAATTGTCACAGTAATACCGTCGGAGACAACTTCGAATGTAACTATTACGGAAGTCACTGATGAAAATAATTAAGTTGATCTGATTTTAAACAAATACTTGGATAAAATTTTGTATATAAATAATATAAAGGTTCATTGTGTACCATACAACTGACAGCTCACTTTTTTCATTTTTGGACGCAATTTTTTTTATAATATAAACTACCATAAAGTTTTACTTTTTTATCACGAACCTCTTTCTTATAGCTATTTTAGTAATTTAGTTATTATTCGTCCTGCTCGATAACTGATCAATTATAGTGTTTTTAACTCTACTTCGATTAAAAATCCAAAATTTTTTTTAAGAAAATAAACATTTATTTTTACTATTAAAGTTTAATTTTGATATATGTTTAGCGTTACCAATCTTAGATTCTTAAAATTTGCAGCTCTTTCTCCCCACATAGTTTTCGGCCATCATTATTGTTTATGTATCAAGTGTACTAGTAACGTTTACAATTATCATATTGCTATATCAGTGTAACTATCATATTAACTATTAATTATTGCTATTTTATTCATAATAACAAAATTATTAATTTTAAGTGTATTTGGCACGATTAGTTCAGTTAAAAAWTTTTTTGTTAAACAAGTGATTTACATAACCTTAAAAGTACTCAACACGTGTCACGAGCTTCTACCAACACCACCTTTTGTGTTGTAAGTATAATTTTTTTTTTATATAATTATTTGAATCTTTTACCACTATTGTTTCAAATTTTTTCAGGAATTTTTTTTTCATATAACTAATATTTCCGCTGTAATCCATCATTAAGTAATTTCATTAGTTCTATTTATATATGTTTTGTACAGTGACCAATGCCAAGAAAACGCAAAGGGGCTGAAAGAAATAGGTCCAGAAAATGAGAGATAAAAGATCCTAAAGAACCGAAGGACAAATTCAGCACCAAAATGCTGGTGCACGTGTGAACATACAGCAATTGCGTCAAGAACAATGAGAAGATAAACGAGCTGAGCGCAATGAAGCCGTTTCACGGTTCATAAACGCAAAACAACGACGCCAATAGATACATCGTGTATTTACATCTGTTTCTTTTTGCGTCTAGAATTCCAATATGAGCCTCATATTGAATATTATGCTAATTTAGAGTGGTAATTGGAGCTATAGATAAGGAATGTCCTTATTGTCATGCTCTCAAATTCAAAAATCAGACACCTGGGATGTGTTGTGTCAGGAAAAGTTTAATTTATTTTGTGCTAGGCCCATAGTCAGCAACTTGGACGCTCTATTGAACCATTACAATGAATTGTTTAAAATATTCAAATCACACATACACAAATATATGCAAGAATATATACCGGATGCTATGGCTTAAGTGCGCGAATATGGACGACCGTGTTTATTTATCACGTTCACATGTAATCCAAAATGGCCAGTGAATACATCTTTGCTATTKCATGGCCAAAATGCAATACACCATCATGACATTACAGCATGTGTATTGAGACAAAAGCTGAATCTCTAATAAGCTACTTTACATGTATTCGGTCCCACACGTTGCTGACTGTATTCAGTTGACTGTCTTGGTTAATCGGCAAAGTCCGTCTTGAAGAAATCGATGGTATCATTTCT